GCCAAAAACTGCAACAACAACAACAACAACAACTATTAAAGAATGCCCTGTTCATAAATAACAAAAAGGCAAATAAATTTGGGCTTAGACTAAAAAACAGCAAACCGTACCAGCACCCAAATAATCATGCACCAGGGTGTTCTGAGGACATTACTTCAGCAACCATTTCCCAAAGGTGGCTGAGACTTGCAGCACAAACAGATTTGAACAGAAGAACCGTAGGAGTTCCAGGATTGTACCAGCACCATCAGTAGGAACATTTGTCACAAAATGTATTCATTCAACATAGAATTAGCTTGTATCATTTGTCTTTGACTAATCTGGAATGAAAGACGTGATCCTGTGTCACCTTTTTTCTTCTTTCTCCAAGGATAAAGCATGTTTTACAATCTTTTAATTTTTTAAATAGGGATCACATGCAGTGGTCTAAAGAAGATGAAGAAGCAGCCAGAAAAAAAGTAAAAGAAAACTCCACTGTGCGGGTCCTTCTGGAAGAGCAAGGTAGCCAACTGCATGTTGTGGCTCGTGGAGCCGGGCCTCTCTGTTTGGGCTTCTAGACACTTTCAGTTTACACTTGAATCACTTTTCTTCCTCCTTGTGTCATTGCTTCTGAGAGTTCTTAGCTTCTACCTATCCCAAACCGCTCCTGCCATTTGGTGCAATTCCCAGTTCTCCCAACGTAGTGGGACCAAAGTTAATGAAATATGTATTCACCCTATAATTGGTCTTTCAGTAGTCATATTATTGCTTTTTCTAGGGATACACACATGGGTGGCATTTCAAACAAGATATGAAAACATATCTTTAAACTTTTGCTATGCTGCTTTTAGTATGTTATTATGCATTTCACTTGCTAAGAATTTTGAACAAATTCATGAACTTTGAGTGAAGGTAAGGTCATATCAAAATCTTGCTGGGCTTTTAAGATAAATGTAAAATTTCTATAAGATACTCTTCTTGGAGACCTTTATATTTACAGCTTAATTTAGGTAAAATTTTACCAACCTTCATAACTTGCTGTTTAAAAATTGGCCTTTGCTACTACAAAATAACAGAAAATGTTGATTCCATATTTTGACTTTTGTGAATGGTGCTGCAATAAACAGGGAGTTCAGATTATCTCTTGAATATATATATATACACATATTATTATATAGAGAGAATATATATGTGTGTGTGTATATATATATATAT